AGCGCGGATGGAATATGTTCTGCCTTCTTAACATTCGTTTGTCAATTAACCCTTGGCAATCGAAACGCTTCCATACGTCGACGCCTAAAAAATTCTAGTTTTTTCCAAGACCATCTCTAGGCACTCGGTGCCTGGAGCAATAATGTCATCGCGAAAGAATGAGAGTTTATTCTAAAAGAATGCTCCTTGCAACCCTGATAATTGGTCTACTCAATAATTAAGAAACATCCCCATTTCTTGTTAACAGAACATGTATATTGAAACTTCTAAACACCTTTAATTTCATCTACTATAACCTCCACCATTCAAAGATAAATTCCATTACAGTTAGAACGTGTTCTCCTATCTCCATACAAGATGAAACAGTAGAAGTGCTCCTACCTTTATCTAATTAACAAACATCCCCCATTTCGTTATGAAAGCGTCAACAGTCTGCGTCACAGAGTACACCCTCTCCCATATTCCCAGTGTAGGACACTCGCGATGAATGATCCCGGTGCAATGGGAAACCTTACGAACACTCTAATCTAATCGAATTAAGAATCATCCCCATTTCGCTGCAAGTGTGTCAACAACCTTCACTCTAGAAATCGAATACGTCCCATCGAACGTCCCTGATTTCATCAAATTTTCAACTATCGAACAACCCTTCTATGGAAGATCCGTCGAAGGTAGCAACCCCCATTTCTCTCTGACCACGTTCCAGTAACTAAAATCGCTGAAACGCCACGGAGTCAAACGCCGCGCGTCCTCAGGCGCCTCCAGCCGCGAGGGTGGCGAACCCGGGAACTGTTGAGCGAGGGAACGCGCATGCGCGTAGGTTGGCGGCGCGACTAGTCGCTTCCGCGAGGGTGGAGGCAGACGGAGGAGCGACGAAAGGGTGGTAGCCCAGGCTGTCGGGGTAGTGGTGGAAGCCCGGGGGTTGCGTTCCGCCGGCGGGGTGGCAGTCGCGCAAAACCGAGGGTCGCCCACGGCTCTGCTCCGCTCGCTCGCTCGCCCTACGCTCTCCGTCTCGCTCGCACCACCGTCGGCTGGCCGGGGGTGTTTCCATGGATACGGCGCTCGCGCCTTGACATTGACAAATGGCTGACCGAGGGTGAGCCGAACACAGCGCCGCTTTTACATATGCAGGGACACCCATTTGTCCGCGCGAGGGGGTGCTACAGGGTGGCACCGACGCGGGGGAGGGACGGGGTGAAAGGGTCGCGGAAGGACCAGAGACGACCATCGCCTATTGCCACGCGTTCTTTCGGCCTATCCAAGAGGCGGACGACATTCTTATCCGGATACAAATTTCCAGTAACGAACTACCCTTCACGAAGAAATTAAAATTTCTAGGGATTGCTTGGTATCGAACATTTTGCCAAGGTCATTTTAAGGACATCTTGATTTTTATTTTAAATATGGAAGGACTGTGGATTGGATTTGGACAGTATAGAAATAGTTTACTATTCTTTTTATTGAAATTTATCCAGATAAGAATTTTCCTCGTACTTGGCGACATCGATACGCCGGTTAACTGTTAATCCTTTTTAATTGATACGCTGTCCGTGGAAAATTTTGATGCGATCTAGCGAGCTACCACGCGCGCAACTGCTGAGTAATGAATTAGGGGATGAATTTAATCTTGAAATGGCCGGCCTGCGACTTTGTTTACCTCGTTATTTTCGGAGGGGTGGCAGACGCAGAGTTCGGGGATATTTGTGTACTATATTCGTTCCGCTAGCCTGGGAATGTGGATTATCAACGCGATACGTTCAGATTTCGGGAGGCCTGTCTTTCCATTTGGTGTTCGTAGATACGTCAAAGGTTTTTATCGATGGGAATCTTAATGGATACGATACGAGGCTATGATTGGGAGTAACACGTAATAAATAAACTCACATATTTTCTATATATGGATTAACCCCTTGAGGCATCGGGGTAATATTTCATCCCCATTAAATTTTTGCACATACAATCTTTCGAGCTTAACAAAACTTTTTATTCGCCAGATTCAATAATTTTCAAGAGATAAATTCAGTAAATTTATCACTCGTTTGATTGCCACTGATTCTATATTATTAGATGTTTATTGGATCATACGCAACGGTTTATTTTAAATTCAGCATTTATATCTTCCTACCCACATTTCAACCTCAACTCTTGCATCCTCTTCGTTTCTTCTAAATAAAACAAATATCGATAATTTCACAAACCATATAAATAAGAAATAACAGAAACTCTTAGAAATAGCTAAATAAATTTACACGGTTAAATTACAATTTTGTGTGTTACAATCGGGACGTGGTTCTTTATTTTCGCAACAGCAGTAGGTCCAAGCATATAACAGTTGTTAAAATGATATAAACGTTGAGTTATTTTATTCGTCGTAAAGCAAAGATCTTATAAAATTGTAAATTTATACGACGAACGACGTCACGAGTCTTTGAATCTTTCGATGCTCGTCGTCCTCGAGGATATCTCGTCCCACGAAGTGAAAATCGAAGGCAGAACGGGTATCGACTTCTCGACTTCCGTACTCTCGCAGAAACACCGAAGAAAACAACATCCTAATCGCGTCCCAGGAGAGAAAACGATACCAGCCCCTTAGCAGTACTCCCTAATAATGACCCTCGAGCTCGTACGGCATAAACGGCCGCCTATCGCGCATTACTACCCCGAAGTGGCCACTCCCTTCTGGCCAGCCAGTCTCGAGTCTAATATCTCATTACCGCGCCAACAGTCGGCCGTACCGAGCTGCCATTACGAGATTGTTTGCTCACGGGGCCTTCCGTCTAATGTATTGCCAGCTTCCTGACGCGTTCGACCGTGTCAAGCCAGGGGTCGCGTTCGTTCGACGAACTTTCCGACGATCTCGCGGATCCCACGTTTCCGTAAACCAGAATCCACCCCCCAACGCGGGGTCAGCAATTTCAATTTCACTTATCGAAAAGAATTACGATCTTCGAGCTACCGACTTTACATTCGAAAGTTCCTTGTCAGTCTTAGGCGGTTCCCGAGGGAAATTAACGAATTTGTCAGATTTTTATTGCACGAGGGATCCAACCCTTGAATTATTTAAGCGAGGATCTTGTCTTCGTTGTCGATTATCCTATTCTTTAAGCTTGGAAAACTTTTAAATATTTGGACCGGCTAAAACCAAATTACCTGAAATATATTCACAGGTCCAAACTAGAAGCTCTGTGAGAATTTATAGAATAGAAGTAATTTGCGAGGAAACGAAATTTATTACACTTTGTACATTGTTGTTAAAGCTATTATAATAACGTAACCTAGTTTCACAGCTAGGAATCAACCCATTCCCGAGCAGCGCACGGTACGAGTTATTCCAACCGTTGAAGTCCCTGAAAGACGTGAAAAAACAATCCGCTCTTGTCGCGAAGGTGGGGTGTTGTCCGTCGGTAAAAAAAGTAGAAATCCCCTGGCAGGGTGTTCCCCGGGCTGACGATTTGTCTCGTTAGAAGCTGGAAAACGTCGACGGCAGCGCCGACGTCGGCGCTTTTCCCGATGCTGACGGCCGCCAGAAAGCATCGACGGTAGCAAAAATAATTGGTGCCTACCCCTTGATTCCCGACACTCGCGTAACAAGGTCCATTTCCATGGAATAACCATCAACGGTAATTGGCACCTACAGTGGATACGCGGCCCCTATCATATTTCAGAACGCTGGTGGGCGGAGGGGCGGCCGACAGGGGTGGAAAAGAGGCAGGAACAGGAACCACGGTCCAGGGGATGCGTCGCGGATCGCAAATGTGTGTTTTATACAGCGACCGGCACCCTTTCGTTTTTCAGTCTGACCAGGAGCCAGGGGCGGACGGGGGTGACCTTTGCGGATAACAAAGCCATCGACAGCTCGCTAACAACCCTTCGACCGCCTCGACCAAGATCCGCTGTCGCATAAACCGTCGTTCCTATGGGGATCTTGTTTCGTTGTCTGCGACGATCCTCGATGAGGAACGATGGCTTCCAATTCTCGATGGATGGATGATCGTGGTCGTCAACACCCTATAACTGCTGTTGGGATAGATTTAATTTTGTTTCGCGAACGAAATTTTGCCTTCCGACTAGTTTTCAAAATGTTTAAAGAAATAAAAAATTGAGAATCGATGTTTGCAAGTAGGGGCAGATATTTTGTTGAAAAATTCACGATACAATACATGGTTTATCATTTTTATAATGCTCGTATGCAGCTGTTTGTCTTACCTGCTTCGAAAGAAAGGAAGATGAGTCTTCAAAGGCTGTCGGGATCGAAGAGTATAGCTAGAGTAATAACAGGAAACTCGTAAAGATTTTTGGGTAATTTGATTCGAAGAATAATACGCTATCTATCTTCGCGTATCGATGCGATCCGACTTTTCATTAATTTCGAATAAGCAAAATATATTCCACGGTCGAAATAAACTATCGATCGAAATGTAATTCGGCGCGAGCGTGGTAATTTCCAATTAGCGTAACTGCAATTAAACGAAATTAAAATTTCTATCTGGCATAGAATCGGCAATTTCCGTTTCTACGGCGTAGAGAGGTGTATCAATAACGATTTCGAAAATCCGCACGGACGAAATTAAAATTCCTTGTTGGCGTGGGAATTTCCAATTTTCAATTTCACAGTGCCGGGGACTCGCGTATTATTGCTTTTCGAAATCCACAGAAATTATCCGAGTTTCCCCGGGACGCAAGGTGTTGGATATTCGGCGCTCGCGATAAAACGTGATACGCGCGTGATGCTCCAACAGAATCGAAGGACGATTTCTCAAAGAAAGGCGTATGCAATTAAAAAATATAGTAAATACTTGGTACCCTCTAAAATATTTACGATTGGGGAAAAAGGAGGAGTAATTAGTGTCGTTAATAGGTTAAAAATTGTCCAGACTTGGCTTAAAAAAATCGAACAAGCAAAATCGTGACTCCTGGACCGAAAGAACGGAGATTTACGAGCATCACGCCCGCGTCGATTTTCTCGCGAGCGGTTCAAATAAATGACTGCACACAGGACGTACACAAGATGTAGCATTTAATGCTCACGTTTCAAAAAACACTATACAATGGACACTCTCTAACATAGACCACCTTTGCATCGTCCTTCCTTTCATCGTCATCACGTCGCGATCCGTGAATAGTACGAACAGTATCGACCGATTACGCAAAATGATCGACGCTGTTCCGTCGCGATCGAGACGTTCACCGCGTCTCGACGCGTATCGGGGGGATGATGCGTGTGTAGGCTCTCGTTACAAAATGGACACCGTGATATTAATACTTTTATTCGCGACGAACGCAAATTTTAGATTCGTGAAAATTAGAGTCGAAAATTCGTATTTGCTCGCGAGAAAAATTTGTCCAGCTCCGTCGACAGGTATCGTTTCCCTTCGTCTGTGCGTTTTCTTTCCACCCCTTTCGTCTCGAAACGTGGACTCGATCAAAAAAAATAAGAAGAGATAACCAAATTTTCCCCACGTCGCGGACCGACCAGCGAAGAGCGGTTTCAGCAAACACAGAACACATTTCGATTTAATTCGTTTTTGTTTTAGTAAATTTATTTGCCGTTCCTCTTGTTTTTTTTTTTTTTTTACTTAAGGGTGTCAATAGGTCGTCAATACGCAAACAGTTGAAAAAATCTGATTCCATACCGATATAATAAATTTTTAGCTTACTATACACATCATCGTCGTCGTCAGCATAATCATAATCATAATCATCATCATATATCATCATCATGGTTATCAGCATCATCATCAGCGTTATCGTAATCGTTTCACCCGCGTGACGATCGTAACGACGACGGTCGCCGATCTTTCCGGACGGACGCCCGTGCGTCTCCACCCCCCCTCCCCTCGTCGGTCGTCGTCGTCGTTACGATCATCGTCGTCATCGTCGGCGACGTGGTTCTGCTATAACATCATCGTTTCGCCGTAATTACACGATAATTATACATTATCCAAATCCCTTCTCTAGCCTTTTCGCTCGCACTCTCTCTCTATCTCTCTCTCGCTCTTTCTCGCTCAGATCGTGTTCTCTCTCGTCCGTGGTCATTCTTCGTCCAATCTCGCGTAACCCACTCACACACGCACGCACGCACACGCACAAAACTCTCGCTCACGTTGCCCTATAATCGTGTCGCCGCTCATAAAATCTTTGTTTTAAGTTTCTTTACCCTCTAACATGATTATTACTTAGATACCTTACGTGTTACTTCGTATACATTTTTAAGGCGATGATTCAATCGGGTGAACTCATTTAGAAAACGAACAGCCAATAAACGTCGTCCGTTCGCCGCCGTCTTCACGTCCCTTCCGCCGGAAACCTTCCCTCTGTGTCGCAGGGTCGGAAATCGACCCCTCCGTTAATCGTTCGTGCGATCCTTGCACTTCCACGCCGCGGTATACGCGTCGCCGGGCATTTCTACGAAAATATTGATCGCGTTCTCCAACTAGCGGGTGGTGTCGGGGTGGTTTGTCGGGGGGGTTGAGTGAAGGGGGCGCGTAGGGGGGTGGTGGTGGTGGTGTGGCGTGTCAGAGAGCGGGGTAAAAAGACGGAGCGGCCACGTTCGCGCTGGACGTTGCGCTTTCCGGCCCTGGTAAAAATAATTCAGTTTCACCGATAAATATTGGTCCGTCGCTGATAAGTCGCTTCGAACGAAAATGATCGTATACGAATGTCGTCGCCTCTCGTGGCCCGGCGATCGCTATACATCTCGTGTGCGCCTCCTTCTATCGTGCTCGAAATCAATTCGCGTTGAAATTCCTCGCGAGCGCGGCGACGGGTTCCCGGCCGCGTCGTCGCGACGCCTCGAAGGGGGGCGGGCCTCAACAAAATTAAACAATATATCGTTCAACAAATAGAATTCGTTTAAAAACCACGCCGCCCCCCATTTCTCGACGATCGACGACGGGTCGTACCGATCGACCGCCCCCGTTGCGTGTCCATGATTGTCTCGTACTTGATAATCATTTATTGAATACGATTGTTCGCGGCAGTCGCGGCCCTCGAGATCGTCCCGGGAGCATCGGACGTCCTTCGATAAAAAACACTCCGGGGAGTCAGACTTCCTGGTGACGGCAGGCGATAAAAACTCTCTCTCTCTCTCTCTCTCTCTCTCTCTCTTGCTGGGTCACCGCGGTAAAAAGCTTTTCACTGAAAACGACGGGCTTAAAACTCGATTCTGCGTTAAAAGGCTTAAAAAATATGTCGTTGCCGGCCTGGACGGTCCGCGAGGCCGCGACTACCGTCTGCTTCACACTTGTTTCTGCGTATACCCATGTATCCTGGTGGCTTCGTCGTCGAGAAATTTCAACCAGTCCGGCCGGAGCCCGGAATCGCGCGATTTCGAATCTCCCGCGGCCCAGGATCGCACGATCGATTGCCACGCCCGTGAAGACGCCACGCGTGCGTCTCGACGACGCGTCGGGAATTTCTCCAATTAACCAGGACCTACGTCGACGCTTCTCTCGCACCTGAGTCGTTCGGTATACGTGGGTTATCGTTTTTTTTTTTTTTTCTTCAGTATACTAACACGCCGCTGCGACGAGATCGAAGGAAACCGCGAGTCGTTCGCGCGTCGACGGCTCGATGGAGATCCGTGGATTCCGTCGATCGCGGATCGAGCGAACGACAAGCTGGGGGCCTCGAACGATCGGCGACGCGCGGCAGGAGCAGTGTGTTTACATTTAAAATTTTTTTATACAAGATCTGCGTGTATGCGGGCGTATTGAAAATATCGATAAAATTTCTCTCGTATGCTCTGCGTTTCTCTCGTTCGCACGCGTCCATTTTTTCTCTCGCAGCCTCTCTCTCTCTCTCTCGCTCTCTCTCACGGTCTCTCTCGTTCCCTGTCTCGCGTCGCGGATCCCCCGTTGTCTCTCTCGTCGATCCGAGCGCTAAACAGTCCGGAACGATGATCGATGCGTCATCGTTCGCCGCGCGATTTTCGAATTTTCCCGCGCGCCACGGGGGACCCGCGCGTCGCTACATCGTCGCTAATCGGCTCCGACGTATAATCGACGTTTAATTTATTGAAATTTCAACGTTCTCGCCATTCCCTCTCACACTGTATCCAGTCTCTCTTGATAAACACGCTCCGATTCCGCGGAGTATCGTTACAAAGGGTCGCGCGAAAAACGTGTCGCCCCGTGTTGCCTCGCTCCGTTCGCGTGTTCCAGATTTCTTCCCTTCTTCCTTTCTTTCCTGAATTTTAAGTACGTTCCAGCGATTACGGGGAATTAATAATTATACGGCTCGCGGAACAATATCCCGTGGAAAGATATGAAATTGAGATTGATCGATGAACCACCGCCCGGACGTAACGGGATAAATTATTCTGAAAATTTCTCTAGAGCAACGCGAAACAGTTGCTTCGATCGATAAAAGCGCAAAGTGGACCTTCGTGATTTTCGTGTATAGCTTTGTGGACGAATTAAAATTCTATACGTGGAACTGTGTTCGATAGAAAGATATGGAATTGAGATTGATCGATGAACCTTCGTCGCGGTGCACTGGAATAAATTATTTTAAAAAATTCTCTAGAACAGCGAGAAACGTGTAGAGTAAGTGGACCTTCGTGATTTTAGTATATAGGTTTTAGAATGAATTAAAATTCTACTGTTTAATTAAGTATTCGATGTAGTTGGTCCTCGGATAGTATTAAATATGAATTTGGTAAATTCGCTTCAAGCTTTAAAAAAAAACATCCCCTCGCGATTGCACCCTACGAAAGATATGACACCAAGATTGACATCGTACATTGTGTCCCAATTAAGAAGCTACCGAGTATTGTAGTCTACAATTTTGCTTCCAAATTTAGTAATTTTTAAAGAAAATATACAAACTTGTATATAAAAGTAAAATTAAAGTTTCGAAAGTTCAAAGGACACGAAAATGATGTCGTAACTCGAAATTTGGTGTTTCCCCCGAAAAGCCTGAGAATTCGATGAACGAAATGGTACGACCGAGCGACGGGGAGTTAAACTCCATCAACGACGATCAATCTCCGCGTGAACTCGAGTCAAACGAATCCTGTCCCCGTCAAACGAGAAACCAGGCCCAAAAGGACGATCGCAGGAAAGCGAGGAAGAGTAGGAAATAATCGTGCTCGATCCTTGCTCGTTGTGGCTCGTCTTTCCCGGATTCTCGTTCTCCGCCTCGCGGAGGATCACACTGGTCCAACCAGAGAAACAGAGAAGACGAACGACGAGCGAACGGTGGCGGTCGCGAAACACCATAGGGGCCGTAGAAATCGAATTTCGCCCTTTCGCCCTTCTCCACGTTCGCCGCGGTTCAATTAACTATTTATACACAATATATTATATGATAAACTGTAATCGTGTACTCGTTCGCCCGTTTGGGTTCATTTAATTATCCTTACGGTGTGGGCAGACGGGGCTGTGAGGGGGGGAGGGGGTAATAACGCTCATTTCACGCATGTGTACGTGTGTGTACGTGTATGTATGCGAACGTGCGTGTACGTGTGTGTCGAGTTTACGCGTGTCTGCCTTTCTCTCTCTCTCTCTCTCTTTCTCACTGTGTGGAGTCGGGTCAGGTGGGGTAGAAGGGATCCGACGACGTAGAGCGTCCGATCCTCTCGCAGGTATCCATACTTTTGTATTTATATATTTATATATATGTATATTTTTTTTTTGTTTTTCTGTGTGTATATAAATATATATACATATACATATACGCTGTATAATCCCTCACCGTGGACGCCCGCGCGAAACATCCACATTCACGCGCTCACACACTCGCACCGTTAACGTCGGGGGCCAGCGTCGCCATTAGCGTCGTCCCGCGTCTTTTGTACCCACCTCTACGCACACCGAACACGGCAACACACGCGAGAATAATCGTCCCAGTCCAATTAAAACGCTCGCTTATATATATATTACAACCGGGGCCACATGTTACTTCAGTTATGTATATATTTATATATATAATTACTTCCTCCTTAAATCAGTAAATTCATTTATAATTAATAACTGTACAAATTTCAATGTCACCTATATATATATGCAAGTGAATGTGGTCGACGCTCGAATCCGGCACACGCGTCGATTTCATTCCTCGTCCTAAACGGTTACTTTTTTCCCCCTCTTTTTAAATCCGTTCACCGTCTCCTCTTGCGCGTCGTTCGCGCCTCGCTTCGAATTTTCGTACAGCACGTTGGAAAATTCCTCGTTAAAATCGTTTTCGTCTCTCAGTACCGTTTTTTTCCATTTTCTTTTTAATATCTGTATCCGTTTGCTCGAAACGACGCGCCTCTAAAAATTCTCTTCTCTATTTATATTTATTTATATACCCGTATATATCTATACACACGGTTTGCGTCCTCTGCGCGCGCGTATTCTGTGTATATATATATATACATATACTCGATCTTATTTTTTTTCCCCCCCGTCTCTCGTCCACTTTGTTGTCCGGTAACCACCGCTCTCCGTATTTCTCTCCCACGCGTTTCTTCTCGTCGCCATTTTGCACACTGGACAAATCCCTATCTATCACGGATACGTGCGAGCACCGGGTTCAAACCTCCCTCTATCCTCCTCCTCCTCTCTCTCTCTCTCCCTCGCCTCTCTCATCTCGTTTTCTTTCCTTAATGTACACGCCCGCTAAATTGCCTATATCACTCGTGTTATCCATGTCCCTTTTATTTTCTCTCTCGTTAATATAGCTCGATCGCGACCGTATTAAAATTTAACATTTAAATTCATCTTCGATCACTACAAATATTACACCGCGACATTTTGTACACAGAACAATCACATGAATTTCCACGCGGCTCCTCGTCCCGTTCGCGAAGCCGCACTACCCTCTTCTTCCCTTTCCCCACCCTTGCTTTCTGGATCCCGCGTTCAGACGCATCTCTCTCTCTCTCTCTCTCTCTCCCTCTGTCGGTCGTATCTCGTTTCTCTTTTTTTTTTTCCTCTTTCGTCCTCGTTACCGGAGACCTTTCCCTGGGATTCTTCGCGGCGAACGGCGTCCCTCGACACTGCGCACCGCCATCTTTCTTCGCGGTGCGATTCCACGGCTGCTTCCTCCCGATCCTCCGCGTCCCGTCTCGAGTATCCGGCACCGCGAGCCTCGACGCGCAGCGTGGCCGAGAAATTTCTTCCTTGTTTCACGCTGATCACCCTGCGCTCGCTTCAACGCCGACCGGAGCACGGTGCTTCCGTCACGCTTCTACGTTTCCCGTTCCGCAAGGACCGTCATTCCATCGTCTACCTTGACTCGCGACTACTGCTGCAACGTGAGAAACCGGGCTCGAATTAATCCACCGCCTCGCGGACGTTACGTCAACCCCTAGACGCATCATTTTCCACCGAATCACCAAAAATCGGTCCCCTCGAGTAAATAATTCCTCTTTCGTACGTGTCGCTACTCGAGTCTGACTGGGAGCACGAGCGTCGAGGGGTTGACGAGCACTGGTTCGTACCAGCCAGAATTTTAGATTCATTCGTAACCCAGCTGGTCCCTTCACTGCACGTTGTTGGAAGAAATGTTATTGCATCAATGTTTATCAGAATATGTAAAAAACATTGGAGATCTTAAAAACTCTGATGTACGAATGAATCTAAAATAGTAAACATTCACCTCTTTTTTGTATTGTGACTTTTCGCCCCCTCTGAATCTTCGTGCAAAAGGAGAAGAACGCAAAGAATAATAATTTGAACGAACTCGGTGTTCCTTAATGCGTAAGAAGTGAGAGCACGAGTTCAGCAAGAAAATTTGATGCACAAAGTTGATTTAAAAATTGACTAGAATCTGTGTCCAATTATGTTAATTTCCGCCTACTAAGAAACACTCTGAAGCACGAACGAGTTACTAGGAAATATTCGCGCGAGTTTCTTGCATTCTCATTAACATTCTGGCCGAGATTCAGTCGCGGTCGTCAATCTTCCCCCCTGTCGAGGGGAGTGTCCGCGAACTCGATTATCGAATCAGGCGGTCGTATTGTTCGGCGTCAATGTCTCCGTGTTGCCGTTGGAAACTGGACAACGCGAAGCTGACCAGGCTACTTTCCCACGTACCTTTATAAGTGATGTCCATAGTACTCTGGCGGGTAATGGTACTGATTGTGGAAGGTGGGATCGCCGGGCGGCCGGTGCATCATGCTCGCCGCCTGTCCGTCCATCATGTAGCCCATCGTCGCATCCGGACTGTATGCCCCGCTCGGACCTGCGGACAATGGTGGAAACACTACACGTTACTACGGTTAGATCACTGTTCCGTAATTGGCAAGCGGGTATTGGAAAAGCTCGCCAGTCCCCTCGAACGGCGTCCTCGAGTTCCCTCTTGGTGTTCTTTCGAACAATACCCGGGAACTCGATCGACGACCAAGAATGGTCTCTCCACCATCGGGATCTGGCGAGCTGTGTAATCGTGATTGGTCCTCCTACGTTCTATGCTCTTGTCCCCTTCTTTGGATAACAAACAAACGCGAGATACCCTCAAGAATATTGCATCAATAATTTTTAGTCGCTTTCTTGGAATCTCTAGTTTCATTGAAATTCACGGCAGAGGTGGATGGTTACGGATGGGTGTGTAATATTTGTTCTTTCTCAAAACTAAAATTGGGAGTGTTATTGTTGCTCTATTATAAGGAACTATCCTATTTTTGATTTTAATAAAATTGTATTCCCTCTTGGTGTTCAACAATAATTTTTCGCTTTCTTAGAATCCTAAATTTTATTGACACCAAAGTGACTGGTAGCAGATGGAGTAATATTTTTTCTATCTTAAAACTAGACATGGGAGTGTTATTATTGCTCTATCCACACCTATTTTTCATTTTATTAAAATTGTAAGCTCTGTAATTCATGGAGATTTATTAGAAAGTCTGAAACTCGATAAGATTCGTAAATCACGAGCGAGAAGGGAGCCTAATATCGCTAAACGGACGCGAACCGGAAGCGCGGCGGCAGCGATTCCGAGAGGACGAGACATCGGGACCCGGGGATTCAATCTTCGTCGGCTCGGAGCGGTTTTGGTCGACGGCGACGACAGCTCCTCTCTCTTTTCGTGAGCGGTAATGGAGCCCGGAATCCACGGGAGGCTCCCCTAGTTTTAATGTCGGTATCTTAATGTATATTGCCGCGATAAATCAAGGGCACTGATTGCGTCCTACCCTCCGGCACCAATACGAAAGCGGCGAACGAAAGGCAGGGAGAGGAATCGGGCGTCATCGAAATCTCGAACGTAAGCCAGAGAGCAGCCATTGTCGAACGCTCTTCTAAGCCTTTCTTATGCTAAACACGAACGGACTATCTCCTCCGGAACGATATTACGCGCGGCGTCCTTTATTGCCAGACGTATACTGTATTTTTTCCAACTTTAGGGCGCGTTCCCTCGCTATAAAAAATTTTGCTCCAACGAAGAATCAATTCGACGCTTTGGAACTTTGACTTTGTACGATTGTAAGCTGCATAACTTAAAATTTGTGTAACTTTCAATTCTATTCAAAGTTATTGAGAATTAAGTATTTTAGTAACTAAATTTTTGTTCAAACCAGACATAGGACTCGGTAAAAAATTTAAATTTAATTTGAGCTCGATCTGTTTGGGTCGCTCGAGGTTTGACTCGATATAAGACCGAGTGGAAATACGACCGCCAAAGGTTGACCCCGCGGGCGACGCGGGTCTAACGAACGCAACGATAAATTCGGTTAATAGCTCGTCCTTCGTGCCAGGATTTCTGCCCCGAAACGTCACCGATAAATGGCCTCTCTCGCCTCCCACCGTTTTCCATAGCTCAACAAATTTCTCATCGGCCATTTGTCAGGAAACCGGGAGGAAGATTTTTCCCTTTTTCGTTCGTACGTCCGTTCCTTTTCTGTTCGACGAGGTCCCCCGGTCGCGGTGCCGCCGCTCGAAACGAACTCGTCGCGCTTTGCTTCGCCCGCGTGCCGAACCGTAAATCACAATTATTGCCAGCGTTCTTTGCCCTCCTCTCTTTATCCGTCTCTGCAGCTTCCTTCGGACCGTTTTTCTGCCGGCGGAATCGCGAATCCACGACGGTACGCAAATAAACTTTTCTTTATCAGCGTTACACTTTGGGACCAAAAGTACACGACGATCGTCATCTTTATGGCAATGGAACTTTAGTCAATTTTATTAATTTCAAGAATTTTCTATGATCGAGGGTCTATGTCGTGCAATGGAATTAATTTTTAAACGTTGCCTCTCAACTTTAATATATTACACAGGGTGTTCGACCAACCCGAAAAAAAATTTTCGAATCATTCTGGAAAAATTATTTTTAGTTAGAGGGGTCAATTACAATCATTTTTGGTCATTACATGTACCCTCGAAATCCTACGCAGTTTTGAGAAAAAAATTCGAGAAGGTGTGAAATTTTTCGACAAAATTAAAACATTTCAAATCGTTCAAAAAAAAATTATTTTAGTTGCAGGGGTCAATTACAATCATTTTTGGTGAATAGACATACCCCCGAAATTCTATGCACTTTCGAGAAAAAAATTCTTTACCGAACATATAATGTCTGACCATGAAAGAACGATTCCCCTGAAGTTTCATGCGTATGTTTAAAAAATCATAACTTCTGAACGGATTGGAGGATTTTAAAGTTTCAAAATGCAAATGACGCGTATTTTGATGTAGAATACGTAGAAATTCTAACAATGTTGGAAAAGTTATTCCTTCGCCCCGTAAAATGAGGAAAACTCCATAAATGTTGTCAAATTTTTAAACGTCCACAAGTCCTATAATAGTCAATGGATTTCATTGAAATTTAGTGTGTCAGTAGAGTTCATGAATAGCTACAAGAAAGTACTTTTAAGTAACGATAAAATAGAAAGACATCCCATCTCCAAATGGAAGAAGAGTCGAAAGTAAAAATGAATTGGTGGGGTAACGGGGAGTAAAAAGTAGCGTTCCGAAACGCAATTCGTTTTCCCGCGCGCGGCGCCGATCCCGCGGCGTGAAGGATCAACCGGGCCGTTTTCCACCAATCACGGGAGCCCGAACGATTATTGCGAATCCAATAAAACCGACGGTCCGCGGCGCGTAAGTCTCTCCCCCGGCAAAAGGAGCGAGCGCCTCTCGTTCTCTCGCGGCCTATCCAAGGCCCCGTTGGAATGTAGTCTCGTATTATAGCCGCTACGATATCCCACTAACGAGGGACGCGCGCTTGCAGTGTGATTAAACCGCGCTATAACGCAGCGGGGAGTCCCGGGACGGCCGGGACCGGCCACAATATCGGAAATTAAGGAATCGGCCGCGCGGGAGTCGCTCCAAGGAATCGCCGAGTCGCGAGCTTGTCTCTTCCCGTACGCGCAAATTGCGTCGTTAAGTACTCTTTCGTTCGATCGCTGCATCGCGATTATTCCCCGTTAAATTGTCCGCGGATCGAAAGTTATGGTCGCGCGTTAGCGATCGAAGTGGCTGCATTCTTTATTTCCTCGTCGATCGTGCGTTTAAAGTCTCCAGTATAGTTTACTCGTGATCAAGAAATCGAAAGCTGTGGCCACAAATTAAATTTTAAAACTTTGGTGTGGAATCGGTGGAAATTCTTTCTGCCCTGAATGGTCCGCGAGATCAGCGCCAGTTAATGTGCGACGTAAGTTTCTCCACTTTGTTGCATTTATGGCGGGGTATAAGATGCCAGGTTTCTTTGATCTTTTAGCACGGGCTATAGAAAAATGTATCCTAATTAAGAATCTTTCATGGAAGCGATTAAAACACTTTTATGCTTGCATAGTTTCTTCATAAAAAACATTTAAAAAAACGCGTTTTACAGTAGAAGACCCCTTCGATATCGTAATTTGCGAGAACTCGAAGGAACAAGTTTCTGTTATTTCGGGTCTCCCGTACGGGACTATCCATTCGATTATCGTTCGATCCGACTCGATTGACCCAGACCCCCGTTCGCGCGGAACATCCATCGTCGTTCCGCGTCCGATATCCAACCACGAACGATTAAACCGACATACTCGATCCCCTCCAACGGCGGTCGGGCACGCCGCTATCGACAAGAACAAAAGAATCGATGGTATCTCTCCGGGTCGTCGGATTCTTATCGAGCCCCCGACGATTCGCTATCGACCTCGCCTACGGGCACGCCGGAGAAAAAAGCCCCCGTGGCTCTCCCTCTCATCAGGCTTTAATAAACGAAGACGAACCATCGGCAGATATGATCGCCGCCTTAATGGCAGTTCTTACGGCGCCTTTGAGTCTCGTGGAGATAGCGCTCGAGAGTCGTACGGGGAGTTCGTTAGCCGCTTCCTCGGTCGCGAACGACGTTACTTTTCCCCGGGAATCGACCATGGAGGGACTCGTTGCCGGCGAAGGATCGCGGGAAAAAGTCTGCGTAACGCAATAAGGCTGGCCAGCGGTGTACGTCGCGTAAATCCGCAAAGCTTGGGAAGCCCCGACCCTGCACCCGAAATTACCCCTGCGCAATACCGTCGCGGCTGGTGATTTATCTGGAGCCGTTTCCAGCGCGTGGGAGTAGCAGAGGTTCGTTAATTGCGGACGCGCTAAGTTGCGAGCGAGAGAGTCACGGGTTGCAACCCGGGCAGGCAACTTCGAGACGGTCGTTTCGGGGCCCGAAGACGAGCCAGAAGCAATAGGGATAGGAATTTTCTTGGATATCGGTGTTGCTCGATCGAAGGGAAGAAAAGGTCGTTCCTACCGGAGAGTCGTTATAAGGGTTTTAGTCGATTGAACGATGGTCGAATCAACGGCGATTACAAATTGGCCGCGCGCGTAATAAATAGCCAGCGAATTGATTAATAACGGAGCGTTAAACCGCGCATCGTTATAATCGACGATGAATTATGCGGGCCACCGCGCGCGCAAAGGTCACCGGTAGGAATTTATGACACGGTTCGGAAGCGACTCGCGAGGAGCGTCCAGAGCACCGATGAGATCGAAAATATAGCGTCCGGCGACTTTTCGATTGATTCTTGAATTACCTAATCGTTTCGTGATGGCACAGAAACGATGTATATGTCTAGAGTTTCTTTGGTCATGGGTTTCTCACTCTCGCCTCTCTTCGTCGGGTGAATCGTACAGTTTAGTAACCGATTTCAATGCCTTAAAATAAATTCGCGAAAAAGAAGCAAAGGATTTTAATTTAGCGATCGATCGCTTAAGAAAGCCACCTGGATCGGGGGTTCGGGGTACCGGCGTAACGTAAACAAAGCTTTCTCGAGCAGCTGCACGGTATCATTAATATAA